CCCCAACCCCAACCCCAACCCCAAACCCTTAGGGATTGCTCTAACAAGCCTCATTCAAGAGTCATGTGAGGATAAACCTTCTAGATTTAAGACCTATCCAAACTACAACAAGATATGGACTGGGAAATATGAGGAACTGATTCTGACATATCATAATTATTATTTATATATTTATTTTTATTGGTTCTGATAGACAAAGTCTATAAATCCCTTTGCGATTCAGTTAACAGAATCAACTACATCTTTGGTTGAACCTTTTGATTAATTTTTGTTAAATTGGAGCATCTAAGAAGAGTTCATAATTTAAATTTGAATCTTTATCAAATTATATCTTTTTTAAACAGAAGCTTAAAACTATAACTTCACTTAGAAATTGAGTTTTCTATTAATTGCTGTGGATACCCAATAACTTTCAAAGGTTTGGTTTGTTATCACTAAACTGTGTAAGATAGAACCTTAACCATATGCTACCTTTTGTTTATTCTAAAGAGCCATTATCAAAGGAAAATTTATGGCTTAAGGTTTCATTTACTAAAGGCTTATGAGCAGCTATTTAAAATTGATTCCATTTTAAGAATAGTTCTCTAGGAGATAAAGAAGATAGTAGAATAGAAGAATATAAGGTGGATGAATTGGGATAAAATAATTTATCAACTATTTAAAAAAATAATTTTAGATTTACAAACAAGCCATATTGGATAGATGCCAGTTATTGGATCTTATTCATTAATAAGAATCATAAGTTTTCTGAATCAGTAATTAAAGAAAGATGACTTTATTTGAGCTGTATAATCTTTAATTGAGTAATGAGAGGTTGAATAGAAATATTCATTTAATAAAGATATTGATTCATTATGAATTTAATTGGATTAGCCAATAAAGAGCAGAACTAAAAGGAATTGAATATAGAATAATGCGAACTTACTATATTTAGAATATGAAAAGAGAAATGAAGACGTGAAATATTACTAGAAAACTCATGCTCTAAAGAATCAGAAGTGAAAGGCTTGTTAAAAATCAATAGAGAACCATTAATTTGAAAGCTAATCACATATTGAATTATGATACAAATAAATAAGATTATGGAACTTTTAAACCTTATTGTGAACTAAAATCATAAAGAAGGTATTAGTGGAGCAAAAATATATACACTTATGATTCTTTGAGAAACTATTATAGACGCATGCTTTCTTATTTTAGGACTCAATAGCATTGTTTAATGGGCAATGAAGTTCGAATCTTCATCAAGAGATTAGAATCCTCAACATATGACAGAAAATGATAACGTAAATGGAATACTTACATAAAGATATGGAAAAGGGGAAGAAGAGTTAGTATTATCTAGATAATTGAAGATGAGAATTGGAATTATTCGATGCACCTCAAGAAGAATATGAATTTTATCTGATGAAGAGTTCTGAGATCAAGAAAATATGTCTCACCTAAATAATTTTGCTCAGCCTTGATTCAAAATATACTCATAGAATATGTTTTAGATGGGATAATTTATTCCCCTTAGTACTTCATCTCTCTTGCAAAGAACTCCATTCAACTTTCTCTTGCTTGATGGATTTATACCAAGATATACAGCAAATTAGTAATCCTTGTCCTTCTTTTAATTCATTGACTCAATTAAATTAAAATGAGCTAATTGTAATTGAAATTGGCAGCTACTTTAGAAATAAAGAAAACTCAAAAAATTTTCTAATCAGAGTTAAATGAACTCTTCCGTAAATTTTGTATAAAAGGGGAATAATTAATGTAGTTAAAAGGTAAATCTTTATTGCAGTCATTTTAGAAAAATTACATTTTTCTGTTGACTTTGAAGATCGAATCGCCGGTTGAAGCCAAAAATTAAGGCCCTTCAGGAATTATCAGTAGAGAGAATTACATAGGGTAAATATAACCCAATAATTAAATATCTTCTTTTTTTTCTTAGTACTTATTTTAAATCCTAAAATTAAAATGTCAATAAAATCAAAGTGTAAACAAATTCTAAAACAATCGCTTCAGAATTTATTTTCACAAAAAAAAATACTTTTAAAATTATTTTTCAAAAAATCATATCTAAATATACATATATCACATTGAAATCTCATAAACTTCACATTATTGGATATTTGGAGTATTTCCTCCAAATAAATGGGTACTTTACTTATTTCATAAATATTCCATTAATAATATTAACCTAATCCTTCTGTGAAATCATTTTAAGTATATATATCCTAGTTTCCTACATAAATTAAATGAGAGCTTGAATAAAGATAATTGCATTAGTCTTATTTGACTATTTTAATGGATTTTTTTCGTTTTGTGTGTAGGAATATATGAATGATTATATATAGTTATCATGCTACCAAGAGTTAGAGCTTCCATTAAATTGACAATTGAAATATGCTCCACAAATATTATACTAGTATTCTTAGATTTTAAAATAATCAAATATACTTTTTTCCATTAACTTATGCTGATAAACTTAATCCATCCTGAGAACTTTGATATATTCTTTATTCTGATTTTAGATCTTATTTAACTCTGTATTAGATAGCATCGAATAAATAGCAAAAATAACCTTAAGATAAGATTTTAGAATATTATTCTTCTTTGAATTCTATGTTGCAAATATTGAAAGAATGATAGATATAATGATTTCTAAATTTTTTTTCGTAATTTTCTTTATTTCTAGGTCTAATTCACCTAAGATCATTTAATTTTTTACTATTATTAATTTTTAAATTACTGCAAAAAGTAACCTTATATTTATCAGTAATTTTGCTTAATGATGTGTTCATTTCGCTTGCTTCATCATTTTGTAATTCTTCAAAAACTGGTTTTACTTCTTTTTCAATCTTATGGAAAACTTCTTAATTGCAATTATTATTGGGAAAATCAAGCTTGCTTAGTTCATATCCTAACCTTATTGATATTAATTGTGCCTTAGAAATAGACTAGGAGGCTTCTTTACAGTGTTAAATCAAATTTTATGTTTTCAACTTCTGCTCCTCAAATATTTTGTCAATCTTTTGCTAAAAGTTTCTTAGATTGGTCTCCCACTATTAATATTACTCCATAATCTATTTTTCTCTTAGTAAGTCAAGATTAGAATAAAATTATTAATATTGGTCCTTAATTTTAGCTTGAAAAATAGTTTCAATGGATTTTCAACGACCTTGAAATTAGAATTGTAATTTAACATTATGAAGAACTAATATTTGATTTTCCTTTAATTTTGATTCGAGTATTCATAACAATAATGCAACCAAATTTAATACACCAAGATGAATCCATTAAACCACATATCTTGTGTGAATTTTACAATACACTTTATCTTCCATATATAAATAATGATTCTCAATATTTCTATTAATTTGAGGAATTTAAATTATGGAAAATCCTATAGAAGAATTTTGAATAAATTCATATAATAAAATTCATTGTTTTTGAACTTTCAAGTGCTTAGAACAGGGCTTTTGAATGAAAATGCTTCTTTTAATTAATTCTTTTTTAATTTCATTTAATATATTTCATCCTGTATTAAAAAATTAAACTTTAATTATAATAATAGGGAAATTATATATTATCAATCGTATATAAAAATCATAGATGAATATAATACAGTTAATTTCCAATAATTATTTCCCTTTATCAGACATATTATTATAAGTGATCTTACTGTTTTGGTATCGCTTTCAAGTGCAAGATATTGTTGCTATCCATTTTAGGTTATAATGAAGAAATTGATAGGTTGTAAATGGAAAAGAATAATATTTTACATAAAATTTGAGATTTAATATAGACTAATGGTGAACAGCAATATTATTTTAACAAATTTTTAACTTAATATTATGAATATTCACTTGTTAATAATTGGCAAATTAGCGTGTTAATCTGAAGAATAAATTATTCAATTAAAAATAACGAATTATATTAATCAATTGTTCATATATGACTTATAACCAATTAAATGCACATTCTTGCTTGAATAATCTAACATCGTAAAAACTATGGAAAGCAGTTTCTATTATTGGTTTAGTTCAAATTAATCTTATTATTATTTTCAGACATATAATTCAATTAATTGCAAAAGGTTAAATTAGTATTGAAAATTTGACTTTGATTTTTTTACCTTGATTAACATACTAGAACTTATAAAGATAATTTTTTAGTTTTGATTTACGTAATAATATTTAATTAAAATTAATAATAAAATCTGATGATTCACAATAAATTCACATGGCTCGTACTCAAATATTCAAAATCCCTATTAGAATACAATGATTAATCAAAATTAGAGTAATTTTCTTCATTTACGTATCTTGAAATGTCTTGATCCTTTGTTTGCATATCATTCTGATATTCAATTATTTTTCCCTTCTCATAAGTTCCGTTAATTCTAAGATGCTCCTCTCTTACTTGTTCTAAAAACTCCTTAGGCTGAGATTACGTCTATTTTGAATAATATGGGTTCTAAATTTGTAGGTACTAACTTCTAATGTTATTATAGAATCTATTCTTTATTTAGTTATCCTAAAATAAATTTAAATATTACCGATCTACCCACAAGAAATTTAGAAATTTATGACCACTTGGAACCATACTCTAAATACTTTTGGTATATTAGTTAGTCTTCTTCTTTAGTAAAACCATTTTATTTTAAATTTGGATCTAGTGAATTGACGAAGCGATTTCTGCATTATTTACTATTTCTATTTTTGATTATCTATGCTATTTTTGACCACTTCTTTCCGTATTATTAAATGAGCTATAATAACAATTAATCCTCCTTAGAATTCCAAAATTAATTAGTTCTACTCTAATATCAAATTTAAATATAATACCCTCTGCCCTTAAAGTCTCTTCCATCTTTGTGCACATTAGTTAGGATTTCTATTGGGTACATACTCAGCTATTGCTATCCAATTCATTCCACACATTTTGATTCCTTTTTTGAGTAAGTTATCTTCTNATATAAAAATCATAGATGAATATAATACAGTTAATTTCCAATAATTATTTCCCTTTATCAGACATATTATTATAAGTGATCTTACTGTTTTGGTATGGTCTGGTTTGAAACATTCTCATAATATCGCTTTCAAGTGCAAGATATTGTTGCTATCCATTTTAGGTTATAATGAAGAAATTGATAGGTTGTAAATGGAAAAGAATAATATTTTACATAAAATTTGAGATTTAATATAGACTAATGGTGAACAGCAATATTATTTTAACAAATTTTTAACTTAATATTATGAATATTCACTTGTTAATAATTGGCAAATTAGCGTGTTAATCTGAAGAATAAATTATTCAATTAAAAATAACGAATTATATTAATCAATTGTTCATATATGACTTATAACCAATTAAATGCACATTCTTGCTTGAATAATCTAACATCGTAAAAACTATGGAAAGCAGTTTCTATTATTGGTTTAGTTCAAATTAATCTTATTATTATTTTCAGACATATAATTCAATTAATTGCAAAAGGTTAAATTAGTATTGAAAATTTGACTTTGATTTTTTTACCTTGATTAACATACTAGAACTTATAAAGATAATTTTTTAGTTTTGATTTACGTAATAATATTTAATTAAAATTAATAATAAAATCTGATGATTCACAATAAATTCACATGGCTCGTACTCAAATATTCAAAATCCCTATTAGAATACAATGATTAATCAAAATTAGAGTAATTTTCTTCATTTACGTATCTTGAAATGTCTTGATCCTTTGTTTGCATATCATTCTGATATTCAATTATTTTTCCCTTCTCATAAGTTCCGTTAATTCTAAGATGCTCCTCTCTTACTTGTTCTAAAAACTCCTTAGGCTGAGATTACGTCTATTTTGAATAATATGGGTTCTAAATTTGTAGGTACTAACTTCTAATGTTATTATAGAATCTATTCTTTATTTAGTTATCCTAAAATAAATTTAAATATTACCGATCTACCCACAAGAAATTTAGAAATTTATGACCACTTGGAACCATACTCTAAATACTTTTGGTATATTAGTTAGTCTTCTTCTTTAGTAAAACCATTTTATTTTAAATTTGGATCTAGTGAATTGACGAAGCGATTTCTGCATTATTTACTATTTCTATTTTTGATTATCTATGCTATTTTTGACCACTTCTTTCCGTATTATTAAATGAGCTATAATAACAATTAATCCTCCTTAGAATTCCAAAATTAATTAGTTCTACTCTAATATCAAATTTAAATATAATACCCTCTGCCCTTAAAGTCTCTTCCATCTTTGTGCACATTAGTTAGGATTTCTATTGGGTACATACTCAGCTATTGCTATCCAATTCATTCCACACATTTTGATTCCTTTTTTGAGTAAGTTATCTTCTCTAGTACTCCAAGCTGTTTTGATAATTTTTAACTTTATGCAAGATTCATCTTAGTATTCAACACCGTTTCTCATCTTTGGGTAGAAAAAATAATCTTAATTATTGGGATTTGTATAAATTTAAACTAGCGTTTATCATCAAAACCAATCTTGTGATATATGAACTTAATGTTTTAATTAATAAGATACAATTATAATTAATAGGTATAATATCTCACATAAATATAATTATTAAAAATGCAAATATCTAAATATGCTCATAACCTGCAAGTTATGTTACCTTATTAAAAATTTTAAATCTAACTTTCAAAGGGTTTATTCAATTTTTGTCGACACTTTAACTCAAAAAATTTGTACTTCTGGAAATTTAGTAATTATGAAGTAATTTATACTACTCGTTATTCATGTATAGAGTTGATTTCCGAGTTTATGTTATTTTCAAAATTCTTTGCTCATTCTTACAGTTTTAAGTCTAGCGGTATTTAAGATGTCTAATAAGGTTGATAACACCTTAATTTCCAGAAGGCAATTTAATTAAAAAAAAACTAATTATGGTTTCTTTCAACTACACCAAATAAAATAAGCATTAATATACTTGCATTTTCATTAATTAAGTTTAATTTCAAAAGGGTCCTTGATTGATTGGTTTTAATGAGAATTAAGTCAGATTCTACATATAGAAAAAAATTTAATAAAAAAACTTTTCAAACGTTACCACATTTGATTAATACGAAAAATAATTTTACGCCTAATTGATACTAATTATAGGTTAAAACTTATCTGATTTCTATTCGGATTCTATAAGATAATTGAATTCTTTTAATATCTCCACAATTTAACAAATTACATTAATTACAAGAAAACTCCATTTCTAATCAACAATGAATTTTAGTTTTATGTGTAAAATATATATAAATTTTGATTCTTAAAATAATTTATGCTCAGCATAAATATATCAAGTATATCTAGGTTTAAAGCTGCTTTCGCAATTTGGAAACCCAACAACAGTTTATGAGTTTACTTAATAATTTTGTATAATTAATATTAATGAATATTTTTAATATATAATAATGTGTGATATATAAATTTAAATTTAAATTGTTCCTTCATTATATTATTTTTGCTATTGCTCTCTCATCTTATTCAGCTTTTAGCAAATTTCGTTCTGATTAATCATATACACAAAATACCTAAGTGTCTTAAACCAACCTCTAAATTACACTTTTCTTTTTGTAATCTGTTGTTATTTTGATTTCATATAATTTACTAATGGTTTGATATTTTTTATCGAGTACTTCTCCGATCTGATATTGATTTGTATATGAATTTGAAGATTGCAAATTATTAAAGCTAAAATAATATATATTTAATTTATAAAAAAAAGCATAGAATTCAATTCCAATTATTGCATAGGATGTGATATAAATCTCATAAATAGAGCTTTTTGCTTTTACTTAAACTCATTTATAACCTATGATATTCATATAAATTTAAAGGCTATTCTTGAAACTAATTAATGATTGTATGTGAGGTCTTTTTAGCACCTTCATAAAATTGAGCCCTCTTTTTCAATAACCATAATAAGTAATCTTCGATTTATATGTTACTCTGCTGTTTTTAATTTCCTTTATTCTTTTTAACAAAGATTCTTATATAAAAGATAGTAGAATTCATCGAAATTCGATGAAATCCCTTCTGAGCATTCAGATTTATACAATATTACAATAGAAAATAAAATTAGATGTGTTTCTATATTAATAATAATCATATTAAAATTATTAATTCATTTTATAATGTTCTCAAGACTTGTATTAGCTGATAATTCAATTATTTTCAAATATTAATGCCTAAATATATATTTCAATTTATACTTAGCTGCAACTGCATCTTTTAAATTGTATTTAGAACTAATCTAATTTCCTCCATATTATATATAGATCTCTAATTCTTGCAATAGTGAAAGTTCATCCTCCTTTAAATTAAACCGATTTCTTTTCACATCAAAAGCCAATTGGTAATAATATAAATCTATTAGATCTTAGTCATCTTCTTCAAATTGAATATACTATTTAATTCTTAGATAAATATCAAACCTTTTGTTAAGTTTATAGACGTTATTATTTATTTCCTCATGAAATTCTAATTTATTTAAAATATCAAAAAAGTTGGTAGATTCATCGACATATGAAGTATTGTAAATAACTTCAGTTTTAGATTAAGCAACCATTAATCCAAAGTACATCCAATTATCCTACTAATTTATAAGACTACAAGCCTGCTTAATTACTTATTAAACACTGAAATGATGTTCCAATTCCACCCATATCGGAGTATCACTATGAATCATCAATTTAACTATTGGTTATTTGCATTCGAACATTAATTATAACTCATCTTTTGGAGGCAAATAAACTCTAGGACAAAGCTGAGTTTTTATTTCATCTTTAAACACTTTCACATCAGTGTTAATTGATAAATTTTTGATTATTTATTTAGTATATTTCTACATCTCTGGCTCTTTGAAAAGTTTATTTTCAGATTTCTGTAGTTATTCAATTAAATACTAGATAAATGGTAATGGGTGTTAAAGAGGAATACAATGAGTGATTACTATGCATAATCTTAATAAATAATAGAGATGTTCCTTTGTGTTTCCCTCAATTTATTTAAAGATCTATAAAAATATTTCTTCACGAATTTCTTAATTGTTTTCCAATTTGACTCCGTCATTAAATTTTCTACTAGTTGTTTCAAGTTCTATTGATTTTTTTAAGGCATCGATATCAAGAGCAAGCGAGCGTTATAAACTTTTGGGAGCTGTTGGTAGTTCAATTTATGCTGTTGTACCTATTAAACTACATAATATCCTCTCCAAATGTTCTTTTGTAGTTAGACTCGATCTTTTCATATGAGCAAATTTTGTTATGCTTTTAAACACATTTAAAGCAACCCCTTCATTTGATATCTTAGTCAAAGGTTTCTTAATATTGTCAGTTTGACATTTCATAATTTTTTCAAGTTAATTCCCTTATTAATGAAGTACTTATTAGCAATAATCTTTAAATTAATTACTTTGCAATATATAAAGTAATTCATTGTCAAAGTCCAAGTTTACATTTTTATCAGTAGTTGACCTAATATCTAATAACTTTTTATTTTGTTAAGCTTTTTCATAAATCACAAAATTTTATGGGTGAGGATTTTGAATTAAACTTTGAATCACAAACTTTCTATCGCACTTTTTATGCTTTCTCTTTTCTTCTTCTATTTATTATTTTAAGTATTATTCTTCTTCTTATTCTATTTGTTTCTAGATCAATTATTAATAATTTATCAATTTTTCATACTCTTCAATAGTCAACACTTTTGGTGTTTATCCAAAGTAAATTTTAAACCCATTCTATTCAATTTGATTTAAATGTGTCTTTTTGTTCTACTTTTCTATTTCGTATTATTATTTATTTTCTAATAGTTCATATGCACAGTAATCTGAAACATCATCAATCTTCATTTAGGTATATTTAAATTTAGAATCATCACTTAGCAATGCATATGACTCCAAATCAGAATGCTAAGAGTCTGATTATAATTTTGATTTCATAATTCTTCTATGAATTTACTTTTATTCATTGTCTAACAAACAATAAGCATTATTTTTGTATTCCTTTAATTGATCTTCATCTAAAAGGAGAAATGCTTCGTAATCAGAAAAATCAACTTTGCCAAAATCCTGTTTATCCTATTCATATCTATTTAATTTTTGTTATAACAGTTCCTATTTTTCTTTATAACTCTTAACTTGTTCCCATGAATACACAATCAATTCTTTTAAGTGCTAATCCATAACATTTTTATCCTTTAATAAAAAATAAGCTAATGAATAATTCTTATAGACAATATCTTTATTTTATAATAGTCGATATGCAACGCTGGCCTTTGGATGTAAATAATTCTCAAATATAATAGGGTTTAATATATTCTTCATTTTGATTTTCATCTATTCTTTATTTTTCCTTTTGTTTTTTTTCTCAATTGTTAAATTTTGGAATGCTATTGATTCAATATTGATCATTCCTTCATTATCATTTTATTCCAATAATAATTGTTTTCTAACTTTCCACTATTCATCATTTAGTAGTCTGAATGCAGTTGAATCCAAGAGATCATGTCTTATCAAATTCAATTCATCTAATCTTTATTATGCTCTAAATCTTTATTTTTTTAATATCTCATATTATTCTGCATTTGCAAGTTCTTTTGAAATGTTGTGTAATCCCTCTCTTTTTCGATTAATGTATTCATTTACATTAGATATGGACAAATATGCTTCAATGTCAGAAATATCATTGAATAAAGAAAGTTTTTCTTTATATTTTAAATATTCTTCCTTATTTTCAAGTAATTTAAAAGACTCAGGATCAGAAATATCGATATCATATCCAAATTTAACTTTAATAGATAATAATCTTAACGGAAGACTTTCTTATTTTTATTGCGTATATAATTTTTTTTGTTCCTATTCTAATAATAAAAAAGATTCAGGATCTGAAAGGTAATCATCTAATAAAAATTTTTTTTTCTACATTTATCTGGTTCTCTTATTTATTATAATTTCTATTCTTCTAGTCTTTTATTATTCATTTAATAAAGATTATGCCACATTTTTTTTATTTTCTAATTTTAATCTTTTGTATTCATTTTGCTATCCTGTGGTCAATTATTTATAGGCCTCTAAATCACTCAAAAATGGATCCAATTACGCATAGATTTTATCTTATAAATCTTTCATTCTCTATAGTCTCCTCGATTGCTTTATTTAATGTTTTTAATTTTAATCCAATAAGTTAAATGCGACTTAGTTTTGATCTTACTTTTTCAAATTTAAATATTGCAGTTTTTACTCAAATGTCAATAAAGAGAAAGATTCTTAATCTGAAACTTCTTTTTCAATGGCTTCAAGTTCTTTCTATTGTTGTTCAAGGTTATTCTTTTAAATGTTTTTTTCCCTTTAGATTAGTTGTTCTTCATTTAATAATTAGTATGCTGTATTTTGGATCTCCTCATAGGGTGTTCCATCTAACAGACTTCGCTGCTTTAATTACAAATGATTTATTTTGGTTTTTTTGTATTATTATAACTACTCTTCATTCAGTAATTAATAAGAATCCAGATCAGAAACTTCAATCATATTCTCCCATTAAATTTCTTAATTAATGGTCTAATTTTAAGTTTCTGTTTGAGGTTACTTTAATTCTGATTTTTAAATTACTCCTTATTCATTAGATTTAATCCTTTTAACACATGATAAAATTGCCATTTTGAATTATCTAACTCTAAAGGCTTTTTAAATTATTTTTGCAAAGGTGTTCAACTTCTTGTTATGTGAACATAATAGTTTGTTGATATTTTCAAAAGCTTCCTTTTTGAAGTACACCTAATTTTATCCAAATAACAGCCCTTTGGCTTAAGTTATCCTTTTAGATATTTCCCTTACTAAAGCCTTCATATCTTGATTGCTACTAAGATGTTTTTATAATGTTATTTTTCTGTTGAATACATCTAAATGGTGAAATCTTTAATAAAATTCATTGTAAGTCATTCTATGAGGATAGCTATATTGAAAAAATTTGATAGAATCAAGAATTCTGTATTATTTTAAGTCCTGTCTTTCCTTTAGGCATCTAATATATAATAATTAAATGTCTTTTGAAACTAAGATACTATTCAATTTAACTAGATTCTATGGTATTTCATTCTATTATTCTAAATTTTCCAAAGAGGTTTTATTATCTTCAAATTAAATTTAATTATATAGTTCTGAAAGTTAATCTTAGATTAATAATTGTTAACAATTCTTAAAAGTGTGTTAAAGGTATATCTACTCAATTTACTCTGAGATATAATTGGAAATTAGATTGGTCTATCCAGGATAATCTAAAATACTTATCATCAAGATATTGTCATTTAAACAGGTTAAACCATTCATTATATCAATAATCTGCTACACAAACTATTAGTATTGTTCTCCATTTTCAATCTTTTTTTCTGCTTACACGGCCTTTTAAATTTCAACATTAGGCAAATTCTCCCAGTTTTATTAAAAATATTCCATGTTCTCATAGTCAGAAATATCAATATAATATAATTGTACTACAAAGCCAACCAATTGTTTTTATTTATAGATGAATCTATAATTTACTACTCCTTGGGTATGTCCATTCTTGTTTGTTATTAAGGCCTTGATTAAATTATAATAAACAATATAATCCTTACTTAAGAAGCTTACAAGATCAGTTATAATTTATGTTTTTCCATATCCTTAATTTCCAGTAATAAATAGTTGTGAACTTTTTCCCAAATCCAAATTTATGTATGCAAAAAACAAAGATGAGAAAATATGTGGAGGTACTTGATTAATGATTAATCTTTCATCAATATACTTTTTGTATTGAATATAATCGACAAGAGATGTATTGACACTCTAGATCAGAACTTATCGATCAAGATAAACGTTATTTTTGATTTTAGATAGAATTTCAGGTTCATTAAGATAAGGCAATTCTGTTAAATCGATTGTTTTGTGATTGCTGGCCCGGTAAACTTGATTTACGGGAACATCGCAAATTTTATCCTCCTACAATAGGATTCTAGCTTCACTTCTTTGGTTTAACAATTTTTATAAATTCCCTCTTTAATACTTGCCTTCAATCAATGCCCAGCAGGGAGTGCCATTAATCATCCACGCTGTGTTAATATACATTTCTAAATATGAATAATTAATAAAATGAAATGATACTAATGTTTTATATTAATTTAATCATAATACATCAATTGAGTTGAAGTGTCTTATTGATTCACAATAGAGTTAGAAAATTATATTGTAAATTACACAATTTTATTAGACAAGAAAATTTATATTACAAATTATACAAAAAATGATAGTAATGCACCAATAATTTAATTATGATTCAAAATTTATTGAATGAAACAATTGGTGGTTTATAAGTGCTATTGAGACATAAGGAAATATATACAGCATTAGTTCACACCAATCAACCAATCGATACACCTTTAGAAGAATTTGATACCTAAATAATCAAAATGGTTGAAGAAACACCTAAATTTCCTATAGATTTTGAGATGTTCAGCTTTACTAAAACNCAATTCTTAAAAGTGTGTTAAAGGTATATCTACTCAATTTACTCTGAGATATAATTGGAAATTAGATTGGTCTATCCAGGATAATCTAAAATACTTATCATCAAGATATTGTCATTTAAACAGGTTAAACCATTCATTATATCAATAATCTGCTACACAAACTATTAGTATTGTTCTCCATTTTCAATCTTTTTTTCTGCTTACACGGCCTTTTAAATTTCAACATTAGGCAAATTCTCCCAGTTTTATTAAAAATATTCCATGTTCTCATAGTCAGAAATATCAATATAATATAATTGTACTACAAAGCCAACCAATTGTTTTTATTTATAGATGAATCTATAATTTACTACTCCTTGGGTATGTCCATTCTTGTTTGTTATTAAGGCCTTGATTAAATTATAATAAACAATATAATCCTTACTTAAGAAGCTTACAAGATCAGTTATAATTTATGTTTTTCCATATCCTTAATTTCCAGTAATAAATAGTTGTGAACTTTTTCCCAAATCCAAATTTATGTATGCAAAAAACAAAGATGAGAAAATATGTGGAGGTACTTGATTAATGATTAATCTTTCATCAATATACTTTTTGTATTGAATATAATCGACAAGAGATGTATTGACACTCTAGATCAGAACTTATCGATCAAGATAAACGTTATTTTTGATTTTAGATAGAATTTCAGGTTCATTAAGATAAGGCAATTCTGTTAAATCGATTGTTTTGTGATTGCTGGCCCGGTAAACTTGATTTACGGGAACATCGCAAATTTTATCCTCCTACAATAGGATTCTAGCTTCACTTCTTTGGTTTAACAATTTTTATAAATTCCCTCTTTAATACTTGCCTTCAATCAATGCCCAGCAGGGAGTGCCATTAATCATCCACGCTGTGTTAATATACATTTCTAAATATGAATAATTAATAAAATGAAATGATACTAATGTTTTATATTAATTTAATCATAATACATCAATTGAGTTGAAGTGTCTTATTGATTCACAATAGAGTTAGAAAATTATATTGTAAATTACACAATTTTATTAGACAAGAAAATTTATATTACAAATTATACAAAAAATGATAGTAATGCACCAATAATTTAATTATGATTCAAAATTTATTGAATGAAACAATTGGTGGTTTATAAGTGCTATTGAGACATAAGGAAATATATACAGCATTAGTTCACACCAATCAACCAATCGATACACCTTTAGAAGAATTTGATACCTAAATAATCAAAATGGTTGAAGAAACACCTAAATTTCCTATAGATTTTGAGATGTTCAGCTTTACTAAAACTTTTTGTGATGCAGAATTTATAACCGGAAATTAGATTATGTAATTTGACGATAATGTGTGGCCTGAATTTTATAGAAGTAGGAAAGACTTTTAGGAAATTAAAAAATAAGAATTTTTGGCAAGAAAAAACTTTGTAATCTCAAAAAAACTCACTCCACTTTAAATACAAACTCATCCATTTTTTAAAAAGCCTCATTTCACTAATTACATCACAGTTAACCCAAATATATAAGAATCAAAGAGTTAAGATTTTGGAAATTATAATACAATAGTACCTGCGTTTTCAAACTTCTTTGATGCAGCATAATACTTTAGAACTTTGATAAAATAAGAAGATAGAGTTTTCTATGATGTTGGTCCTTAATGTTTGCATTAAGTTCTAGATTTGCTTGATCTTTACATTATCACTATATATTCTGGTTAATTAGATGAAAAATTAAGAGTAGGAAAAATGCCAAATTTTGACACAATTTAAAAAAAGTTTAAGCTGACCTATAAGTCTTAAGTCTATCCTCAGCATAAAGGATACATCTAGTTTCTGGTTTTTGAAAAATGATTGTTGAATATGTATAATAATTGATAAAAGTAAACAGTTTTAGTTATTAACTTGGTTTATTTCTCTTAATATCGTAAAGGAAATGAAATTTGATTCTTTTTTGTTTTTTAGAAATAAGATTAATATTAGATGATTAAGAATTACAGAGTGCAATTTAAATTTAGATTAGAATTAATTCTCAAAGGATGAAGTTTGAAATTTAAAAAATTCGACTTCTTCCAAATTTCAGAATTTTTATTGGCTATGATTTAATTTAGTAATTTATATAATTATCTGACAATAATATAAAGATAATATAATTATGTCTATACAAATTAAAAACACAAAGAGAAGTATTATTATGCATAAAATTAGATGAATTAAACTCATCCTATCAAGGCCCTCCTGGACCTGCTAGTTACAATCCACAATTAGATTCTTCATATACGAAACCCCCAAAATGGACTATCAGAGGAGGGAATTAGAGAGAAATTTTAGTATAATAAAGCCTTCCAGGACCTGGATAGTACCATCCTAAATTGCCAGAATCATAGAAGAAAACCCTCATTCATGGGAAGTCATATCAGTTCGACAAAGAAAAAAGTTATAAACCAGGACCAGGGTCTTACAAAATAGAAGTGTCTTAGTTATCGAAGATTGGTTTTAAAATAGGAAGCTAGAAACGATATAAAGAGGATTAAAAAAGATCCCCTGGGCCAGGAGATTATGAAATAATTTCTAAATCTAATGTGCCATCTTTTAAAGTTGGCAAGTAATCTCGATCAGAGAAGAAAGTGAGTAATACTGTAGGACCAGGGTATTATAATATGCCTTCGTTAATGAAAACTGATGCTGGCTTTAAAATAATTCCAAGAAGGGAAAAAACTATCTAAAACATTACTCCAGCCCCTAATGCATATGAAATTTAATCATAAGAAAGAGTAAAATCGTTTAAGATTGGAACAAGCAAAAGAGATGGGATATTTAACAAATCTATATCACCTGGTCCTGGCGATTATTCAGTTGAGATCGTAAAGGAACAAGCAGGATACTCAATAGGCAGGAGTTAACGATCAGATAAAAAGATTGATTCAATTCCTGGTCCAGGCTATTATAAATTCGTTAAGCCTAGTAATGCACCAAAATACTCAATTTATGAGAGACATAAAGAAAAATCAGACATGAGTGGACCAGGACCATAATCATATACAATTGGAGATTTTAAGGATACTAAGACAGTGATATTTGGCCACGCAAAACGTGATAGTTATAGTAGATTAATAGTTCCAGTATGTTTAATTTATTAAGACTTAGGGACCAGGGGAATATGAGACTGATGCAAAATAAAGAAAGCCACATGTGAGTATTGTATTTGGTAGAGAGAAGAGATCATAAAGTTGTTCAGATCACACCTCGATACCAGGCCCAGGATAATATGAAATATCAACTACTTTTTATGCGAAAAAAAAATGAAATGATTTGGCTTATTGAGAACTAGATAAAATATTAATTTTAATAAGTTGTTTAATTTCTTCTTGTTTTCCTATGGTTATGAGAAGTATTATTTTACCTTATATTGTGTATCTAACTGAATACAATAATATCGTTAAAGAGGAATTCAACTTTTATAATAACAGTTCCAATAGTATTTTTTTTCTAAATGAAAATCTGTAATTAGTACAAATTATTTTTGTACATCAAATAGGACCGTCTATTTTAGGTTATTCATCAATTTAATAAGTCTTTCATTTCAATTCATAGGCAAGTTGACTCATTGAATAAAGGCTATTATTATATTTTAGAGTTCAACTTTCAGAGCAAATGTAAATCAGTTAGCATTGTATATTGTTTTTAAACGATAATCTGTTTTTGATCCAAAATAAAGCATTGTTTATTTTTAATAAATATAAAGATGATCATAAATAGATAATCTCATCTATTTCTAAGATTAACTTCTTCTCCTAAGTTCTATCATGGTGGTTTGAAAGATTAGGATCGAATATTCACAAATGTTTATCGTGATGGAGATCCTTATATACAAGGTGCATTGAAGAGAGTATGATGATGAATAATTTAGGGAGATTGGCATAGAACAAAAGACATACTGACTATGGGTTAAGATTGGATTATAGATGAAATTAAGAAGAGTGGTTTAAGAGGAAGAGGAGGAGCAGGATTTCCAAGTGGTTTGAAGTATTCATTCATGCCCAAAGTCAATCCAGACGGAAGGTAGTTATGTAATATTATATTAAAGACCATCTTATTTGGTGATCAATGCTGATGAGTCTGAACCAGGAACATGCAAAGACAGGGAAATTCTAAGACATGATCCTCATAAATTAGTTGAGGGTGCATTATGTGTGGGATTTGCTATGAGAGCTAGAGCTGCATATATATATTGTAGAGGAGAGTTTTGGGTTGAAGCTAATGCGTTGCAACAAGCAGTTGACGAGGCATATAAAAAGGGATTCTTGGGAAAGAATGCATGTGGGAGTGGATATGATTTTGATGTCTATGTTCACAGTGGAGCAGGTGCATATATTTGCGGTGAAGAAATGGTACTATTTAGAATAAACTTAAGGGTTTAATTGAATCCTTGGAAGGAAAACCAGGCAAGCCTAGACTTAAGCCACCTTTCCCAGCTAATGCGGGTTTATGGGGTTGTCCTACTACTGTTACTAATGTTGAAACTGTTTCTGTCTGTCCAACCATTCTCAGAAGAGGAGCGAATTGGTTTGCTTCATTTGGCAGACCCAACAACAGAGGCACCAAATTATTTTGCATTTCTGGTCACGTCAACAATCCTTGTACAGTTGAAGAAGAAATGTCTATTCCACTTAAGGAGTTGATTGAAAGACATTGTGGAGGTGTTAGAGGAGGGTGGGATAATCTCAAATGCATCATTCCAGGAGGTTCATCTGTGCCTATGTTGCCTAAAGAAGTATGTGAAACTGTCCTAATGGATTTTGATGCTTTGAGAGATGTCAGATCAGGATTGGGAACTGCTGCAGTAATTGTTATTGACAAATCCACTGATATTATTGATGCGATCTTGAGACTAAGTAAATTCTATAAGCATGAATCATGTGGACAATGTACTCCTTGCAGGGAAGGTACTTCATGGTTGGTTGATTTATTGGAAAGAATGAAAGTGGGAAATGCTGATTTTGCTGAGATTGACTAATTGGAAGTACTGCAATCTTACTATTATTCTTAAGGAATTAACTTATTAAATTGAAGGTCATACTATATGTGCACTTGGAGATGCTGCTGCTTGGCCAGTTTAAGGGTTGATTAGATCTTACAGGGAAGAAATCGAAGAAAGAATTGAGGATTATCATTCAAAACATCCAGTCAAATCTAGACAATTGCGTAGTCATCCATAATAATCAGGTCATTGATCTATTCATAAAATTGAATATAAAATTTTTTAGTTTCTCTTGTTTTTTACATATATAATAATAATAAATACTATGAAAAAGCAATCAACTAATAGTCAAAATAGTTCAGTCGGATTCAATAGGACTTAAGTGTTTGAGTAAAAGGCTGAACAATCCAACCCTTTTGAAAAAACACTTAAATCAATGAACACAGACAGAAGGGCTTTGATTTAAAGTTTTTTAGGTATTGAATTTAACTAATCAAGATGCAAATGCAAATTCAAATTTGGAGCAACATCCACACAATCAAAGGGTCTTCACAAAAACTATGACTGTAGAAGCCAAGGTAGATGAAATAAAATTTGATAACATTCCAGGAGTGTTATAACAGAAAAAATTTAATTATGGTAATGTGTATAAAGAAAGATCTAAAAAAAATCCTTATGTCATCATTTAATCTTTGGTTAGGCGATTCTTAGCCAAGAAGTTAGTCAATGAAAGAAAGAAATATTTTTAGAAATTGCTTAAAGAAGATTAAAAGATTACAATAGTGGACAAATGGGTAAATGATGAAAAACAATGGGCTTAATCTGTTATCTCGAAGCTCAAGGTTTAACCAAAATAACCCATTCAGGAAAGAAAAACCATTTCTGGTTTGGATAAAAACAATCCATTTTATCACACATAGATTGAAATAATGGGTGAAATGGGTGTGTTAGAAAAAGATGACTTTATAGAAATCAATCCAGCTACTGCATTTGCTAATCCAGCTCTTCCAATCACTGAAGATATTAAATTCAAAAAACCTCCTCTTACCAGACTCAGACCTAAATCTGCCTATCAGAGTTAGGTTAAACCTAAAATTATGCCAATCCAATTACCAAATGATAATTGTCAAATCTGGAAAGCATTTTACAAGAAAAAATACGGAAGAGAGAGTTTGCATGATCTTTCGATGAAGGAAATAAAAATCACAGATGATTATATCAAAATAGAGAATCAGGAAGCTGTTAAAGACAAGGCCAGAATTAATAAAGTAAATAAAATTTTAGAGAAAGAAGTACCAAAGGAACTTAAAGTTTAGAAATAAAAATAAACTTCATCCAAAAAGAAATAATTGGAAGACAGTATTGAAGATGAAGTTCAAAGTGAATTAGTCTAATCAGAAATAGCTGATGAAGTCGAGGAAGATATCCCAGAGGAAGAAGATATAGAAGAGGCAGTTGAAGAAGAAGGAGTTGCAGAAGAGATTGATGACATCTAATCCTCTCAAATTAAAGAAGAATCAATAGTTTAAGAGTCCTCTGTTATTAGAGAATCTATTCCATCGGCCTAGAAGAGTTCAAAAATCATTAAGGAATCCATTCAAGAGGATTATGGAGATGATTTTGAGGTTGAAGAATCACAAAAAATTAAGACTCAGCAATCATAATATGAAGATGATCAATTTGATTCCTATCATAGTCAAATGGAAGGTGATGCTCAAAGAAGGAAGGCTACTCCAAAATCTATTAGTGACAAAGCCATAATCTCACCTTAAACCTTTGTACCTGAAGTCAAATCAGTCCCTATTGAAATTGAACCAGGATGGTCTACCAAAAGAGCTAATTTAGAGGCAGAAATATTACTAAAAAATTACAAAGAAAAGTACTCTTAATTGAGAGAAGTGGAAATTAAGGATGAAGATTTTGAGCCACTCAAGTAGGAACACAGAGATCTAAAATTCATTCAATAATAAGTTAACAATCTAATTTCCCATACTGGAGACTTCTATAAAGGTTGGAAAGATGCTGTCAATCCCTAACCAAGTTAATCAGCTGACAAACTATATGCTTAATTCCAATATGAATTTTAAAGACTTTTATCTATGAATAGTTTAGGAACAAGATTCAGCAAAATATTATAATAAACAATAGTCAAGGATGTTCCTGTGGGTAATGTTAAGAATATTATGAGTGGAATAGATTAATAAATGTAAATTGTTTAACAAGTCTTAGAGAATCTATTATTTTAAGTGCAATAAATCTTTGATTTCAAATAAACCATGGAAGAAATGAGATTATACAGAAAGGAAATGGATTAAAAATTATAGTGGTTATTATTTAAACAGGATAAACTTATTAATAATCAATTAGGAAAATAATTAGAGGAAAGAGATAGAGATTTGAAAAAATTCATAGCTGCCTTATTTGAAAAATAAAGATTGGAATTCGGATCAAGAAAACTAGCAGCTACTGTAGATCCTCATTCATTGTCTGAAGCACTTTTAAAGAACCAAGGTATATTGTCATATAAATTTGAATAATCTGCATAGTCCAAAAAGGATTCAAGTGTCGGTAAGCAAAGAGATAAAAGAAGTGTAAGGGAGGAATCCTATTACTAAGCAGACTTTGAAGGTGAAGAATCTGAAAGGATTAAGACTGAAAAGTCAGATTAAAATGTCTATGAACAATCATATAAAAACAGTATTTCAGAAGACAGAGAAGTAGAAGATGGATCATAATAATCAGATATAGATTGGTAGACAGATATTAATGTATTTGAAAACACTCAGAATTCCTTTGTTGATAAGAAAGATTTAGATGTTTAATAGATTGTTGAGTACCTTTAAGAACAATTATTAAAGGAAATTTTGGAGGATCCATTTCCAGTTAGAGGTCAATTACAAAATTCCCAAGTTAAAAATGAGTCCAACATATCTTCATAATATAGTCAATCATTTGAGGAGGAATCTTTATCAGCATCTAAGGAAGTAGTCCCAGAACCAAAATAACCTCCTCCTCTTGCAGTAAAGCCTATTCAAACGAAAGAAAAAGTTGATGATTTTGGAATGGGCAAATCTGCTATAAATAGAGATGAGTTATCAAGAGAATTCGATTTAACTGATAATTCTTTTCCTGAATAATCCGAAAATAAAGAGGAAGGTAAGGAAATTAAGTTGGTTACAGATTTTAGATATTAGAATTTTGTAAAGTAAATTCTTGATAAGTATGGTAAAATGCTTGAAGGAAAAGAAAAGCAAGTATTAACTAAATTCCAATCAATTATGAAAAAATACAAAAATGATAAATCTTAAACTTTAGGATATTTGTTTTCTACAGAATTTAAGTTCATAGATAAAAAATAGGTGAATGAAGAGTAGGCATTCTAAATTGTGCAATCTTTGGAGGAACAATTATGCGAGTAATTTTTGAAGGAATACAATGATGTACTTATATTTGATAAAAATGTTAGGGCTCAAAGTTGGATATCAAAAGTGCACTAGAATAAGCAAAGGTTGTTGTTCTGAAAATAACAGAAAAAAGAATACCAGTAGATGCTTTTAGCTCTACCTACAATCTAAATCAAATTTATAATCATGCTTAAAGAAAACCACCTGCAAGAGAATGTCCTCTCAATTAGGAATTGGCTGAAGTATACATCAATGAGGAGATGGATAAATTTGGCAATGAAGTACATATAGAAATAATTATTCATAGGCTACTGATTTCATTCTAAGACAAATAGCTAGGACTACGATGGCAGACTTTGATAAAATTCTTCTAAAGAAAAAGAAGTGAGGCCTATTTTAAAATTAGAATTTTCATAATAATTTGTAATTACTTATTATTAATAATATTGTAATTTTTGTAATTAATTTACTATTAAATTTGAGAAGACCAATAAATTTAAAATATTTAAGAAGTCTTTGGAGATTAGAGAAAATAATGCAAAGATGCAGTTTAATTCATTTAGAATATGAATACCGTTTTTAAATTATTAATGTTATAATTTATATTAAATGAAAAAAGAGTAACATCAATAAAGGAGAGACACAACACTGATACAATTGTTAGTATTGTTGGGTGCTTGCCTTACAATGGGCATAGTGTTATTCAAAGTTGTGGGTTTACACGGAGCTTAGAATGATTTGTCATTTGAGTAGGCCTCATTGATTTAAGAATAAACATACTTAGAGCAATAAATAAAAGCATTACAAAATTCACTGACTTAACCCAGCTTTTTAGAAGTCAGGATGAGTGTGAATAAAAAATAGCATAAATAAAAAATAAATTCATCTGAACACAAGCATACTGAGATATAGAAGCCAACAGTAGACAAAAAGGAATATGAATACTTGGAATTGCCTAATAAATTGAAGGTCTTGTTAATAAGAGATCCAGAAACCAAGTTAACATAAGCAGCATTGAATGTTAATGCAGGGTCATGGTATGAACCAGATGAGTTTCCTGGTCTAGCTCATTTTTTAGAGCACATGCTATTTTAAGGTTCGCATACCTACCCTGAAACAAGTTATTTTGAATAATTGGTGGCAAAAGGAGGAGGTTACACTAATGCATACACTGAAGGAACGAGAACCAATTATTATTTCACAATAGATACAAGCAGAACAAGTGAAGCTTTGAATGTATTTGCACACTTTTTTATAGACCCACTCTTATCATAAGAGATGGTCTAAAAGGAAGCTAATGCAGTGAATTCTGAATATGAGATAAATGTGGCAGGAGATGGATGGAAAATATTGCATTTAATGAGTTTAATGTCAGATCCTAAGCACCCTATGAGTAGATTCACTATTGGAAATTTACAATCGTTGCATAAGCCTCATGTTGTCGAAGCTTTAAAAAAGTTTCATGAATAATATTATTCATCTAATCAGATGGCTTTGGTGATCAAGAGTTCATAACCAATTGAAATGATGAAAGAGTTCATTGAATCAAGTGAGTTCTTAAAAATTCCAAATTTGGAAATAGAAAAACCATCGTTGGCTCATTTTGGATTGCCAATAAAGGATGTTTCTAAATTAGTAAAATATCACATCAATACAAGAGCAACAACTCTAATTTACTTTTATTAATTGGAAGATAGTACAAAATATTTTGAAACTAAGCCTCTTCAATTTATAAACTCGATAGTTAGATCAAGACATGATGGAGGATTGTACAATTACTTAGTAAACAAGAATTTAATTGTTGACATGGATTCTCAACCATTTTTGGGTAATAATGGTTGTTTCTAAT